TGTAAGACATTGAAATGACTTTGAAGGAATCAGAAACGTTAGGCTAATGCTCCCTTACTAATCAGAAGAATGTTATCTTATTCCAATGAGAATGATAGAATAAGTGAGACAGAGACTGAAAGCGCTAAAGTTAAAAAATGTTGATATATTAGGTTACGAAGCGATATTACGAAGATATATTACGTAGCGAATAGTAACAAATTGTGGCATGCAGTAAGAAAAATGTAGCTAAACAAAACCACACAAAACTTTTACCACTAATTAGCATGAATATAGTTCAAGAACAAAAAAAATATTCTCATAAAACACTGCAATAAAATAATTATTTCCAAAAACAGTCAGTCTTAACTAATACTGGAATAATATTTTAAAATATACAGTGTTCAAAAAGTCGATACGCAGATACTGAGTACCGACTCCACTCCCTTTCGTAAGGAAATGGAAGCGTCGCATTGCGTTCTGTGGAATTCTTCGAATTTTGGTATTTTCCGGAGCGTGCTGCGAGCAGGCAATTGCTCAATTAAAATATGTGATCGAATTCTTCATTTTGAAGTAACACTTAAGTTCGACTTCAGCACCAGTCGTTTGTAGCGAGTCAAATTATAACAGAATGCTAACTCCGGAAAAACGTGAATTTTTGGTAGAACATGTGATTCGAACAAATACTAAGTACACGGGTGATGTTAAACAAAAAATTATGGCCAAATTTGTAAAATTTTACAGCAAATATTGAACGCACATTAGTGGATACGTTTCAATATACTGTTTCTGAATCAGATGCGTTAATAAGTGTTTGATGATGCTTGAAGAAGTGAAGAACATCTTGTTTTATCGGAAGATAATCTTGAAATTTATGATAAAATGTTACTGAGACCCACAAAACCAACAAGGAGGTAAGCCCGAAGTCTCATTAGGCACTGCCATAAGAAAGGTGAAACTATTTCCTTTCAAAATAATGGCAGTACAAGAATTTCGGATCACGAGAAGAGCGATCGTCATTGTGAATGATTGAGAACGTTGTTATTAAAGGCGTCGGTGTTTCGGACTTTTTTTTACAGATGGGTTTCATCTTTCGCGGTACATAAACTCTCAAAACAGTCGAATACGTCAGTTAATCCTCACATGTTTCATGAACCGATACTGTGTGACAGAAAATAGTATGGATTTTAATATATAGAGCGCGCATTCTTGATCCCTGTGTACGTATTTTCTTCCATGACACAATAAACGCAGATATATATTATTCACATATTATATATCCCGAAATTGAACAGTGAGTGAATAAGAAATAATATTTCCGTATTCCAACACGATGAGGTCACTGATAATACCACTAAACATTTTATGGATGTAATGGAAGATACGTTGGGAGCCGCAAAATTTCGAAAGGTCCGCCAAGATCCTACACATGATATATTTCTGATATATGATCCAGATCTTATACATGATATATTTTCTTGGCAGCATCTAGGGGAAATGTCTACAAAACTCGTTCCTAGACCATAGACAAATCGAAAGACTCAATATCCTTGTATGTAAAATCCATGTCTGAAGAAGCTTGAAAAGTAGTTTTCGATAATAAATGTTAAAAGACTAGCTTTGGCGTCCAAAATGCTGGTAAACGTTATGACGTAATAAGATGTAATGCTTTTTATTTTAGTCTCATTGTTTCTGTATATTTCTTTGGGAATCATGTTTCACATCACGCTCCTTTCCTGTTTTTTTGGTTAAGGGCGAATGCGCCGTCGCGCTCATTTACTTTTTAGCGTTGCCATTTCCACATAAAGGTGGGTAGTGTGGGCGATCAGCTGCATTGCGGAGTGACGTTTTGAACGCACAGAATATAAAACACTTCTTTACCCATCGAAACTAAAAAACAAAAGATGCTGCTCCATTACGATAAAGTGACTAGCAAATATTTAATGGCGGGTGGCCTCTTCCTTGGAGCGTTGTTGTCGTAAGCAATGACGCAATGACTACGAGAATTCAGTCGGTACGTGCAGTGTGATAATAGGTGTAATAACACAATTAAATATTTGCATTTTCAGTCAAAATCGAAAACGTTCACCGCGGGGGTGGCTAAGGGTATCAACTGATGTCACTGCAGTGTCTCTGACCTGGAGGTTCGAGGTTCGAGCTCCGTCGGTGTAAGGATTTTTGACACTAGCTTGTCAGCTAGGTCGAATTCAGATAGCTAGTTTGAGTTGTGTTTGTTTTTAGGCGAATTCTACCGGCCGGCTACTCTGATCGGTAGTTTTCGGTCGTTTCTCCGATCAAGACCAGGCGAATGCCGGCGCAGTACGCTAACAAACGGGTCACGAACAACGCGCGATCTTTTCATCTTCCTTGTCCTATCCTCACACTACCACACATGCCGGGAGACCGGTCGGGAACTTAGAACTTGTTTCGACAGGGGGCTCTCCGCGGGTGGGAGATACCTGGTTGACAAAAACCCCGCTAGCCGAAGGTAGGTCGGCACCGGATCTCGTCATCCATCGGGGGATGAAAACCGAGCAAACATTACATGCTTTACACTTACGAGACTGATGACCTTGGCAGATGACATAAGCAAACAATAAACCAATCGAAACAGTTTCATCGTTTTTATGTTTTTCGAGCCAAAAGTGTGAAGGGTGATAAAATCATTGACGCGGACAGAGGCATAAGGGAAGGCGCTGGCAGCACCTGACCACAAGAATACCGCCCGTGAGGAGGCGGCCGCCGACGGCGACGGCGCTGCAGGAGGGCTTCCGGCGCGTGGCCCGCTGACCGACATCGCCGCTTACGATCGCGCTGCCCGGGCAGCGGCGAGGGCGGCGGTGGCGGCGGCGCCGCCGCGACCCACACGCGCGCGCGGCGCCGACGGGACGCAGCGCCGCCAGTCGACGCCGCCCCGAGCCACCAGACGGACGCCTCCGCTCCTCGCTCCGCCAGGGTGAGTGTCGCGGCGCACGCCGCCCCGCGGCGCCGCGCCGCGCGACGGCCCTGACCCGGGCGTCGCGACGCCGGCGCAGACGCCGACGACCGACCGACGCGACGCGCGCCGTGGCCTCGTAGCCTTGATCGGCCGGACCGTTTCTGACCGCCGACCGCGCTAACGATTCTCCGGAAACAATGGACCTGCAGGCGGCGCGAGCCGTCTCCGCCCGCATGTGCGAGTGCCTCCCGTCGCTACATCTCTCTCTCTCGCGGGAAAATAAAACGGTAGAGTTTATTGTGGGAGTCGTTATCAAACTCATTTGCAGGGAAATGCGAACGTAAAGTCGGTTTCGAACGCGATGGAGCCATTCCATGCGACTCATTATATCAGGCAGCTATCTTTTTCTTGGGAATTAGATCGCAATAACAAGTAATTCCGTAATTCGTCATATGTAACGCTCGTTAAGGGATACTGTTTTGTGCATATTATTTGAAGACGCATATGAACGTATATTTGGACGTTGGCAATGCTAAGAACTGATGAGGGAATTGAGTTCCCGAAATGGGTAACGGAAAGAGACTTAAGATGTTTTCAGGATTTAATTCACTGTTCGCGTTTTCAGAATAAGGGAACATTTACGGCATGAAAAATTGTATGATGTGCAGTATGATGCATTGCATGATGTATGGTCATGCAACTGTAAACAATTGAATGTGTCTATATGTATTTGCTAAGTCATGCCGTATTCACATTTCATAAGTAGGGTATCAGCAATATTAGATTTCCATTAAGTTTTTGTGCTGGTTTTTTCTACTCACAGTAACACAAATAATAAGAATTTCATTGTAATTAGAAATAATCATCAAGAATTAATCATCACATGTAATAATGTATTTTCAATTCATTGACGGAAATAATATAATATTAATAAATTTTTCAACAACGTATTAAAATATTGCAATAAATTCGCAAGGGTTATAACAATAATATTGAATAAACATTTTAGACAAAGAACAAGTGAATGGAAATTATGAAATAATTCAAGAAAATTATTATCAACAATTTACGTGATCAATGAGAACACTTTTAATGTCGATAGAGAACTGAAAATATGTGAAGAAGATGTGGGCCTCCGAAGTCAGAAAGATGACCAAAGAAGAGAAAGAGGAAGAGAATAGAAGACTAGAGAGTGAGTATGCGAATAAGCAGGACCAATTCAAACAACAAACGACATTCAGTGACACGAATAACACAAGAGGAAGCCAACAGCACCAAACCGAATGACAGAGAAAGGAAACGAAAGGGCGGCGAACGAGAGAAAGCAGAAGACGGTCAAGTCGAAAAAAAGGAGTCGGAATGCAGGCAGCGTCCGGATGAGTAATCGCGTCGGTTCCGCTGCCGGCGAAGTGCGGCGGCGCGAGTGGGGAGGGTGCTCGGTGCAGGGGCCCGCACGACGCCCGCCCCAACCGCCTCAATCCTCCTCATTCCGGCTCCTCACATATCGGTCCGTCCTGTACCGGCCTGTATCCGTTTCCGTCCTGTTCCGTCCCGTTCCGTCCCGTTCCAGTCCCGGTCGTCCCTTCGTCTCGTCCGCGCCGTCTCGTTCCAGCCCCGTCTGTTCGTCTCCCAGCCGTCTCGTCCCCAGCCGTCTCGTCCCCAGCCGTCTCGTCCCCAGCCGTCTCGTCCCCAGCCGTCTCGTCCCAAGCCGTCTCGTCACCAGCCGTCTCGTCACCAGCCGTCTCGTCCACCAGCCGTCTCGTCAGCCAGCCGTCTCGTCACCAGCCGTCTTCGTCACCAGCCGTCTCGTCACCAGCCGTCTCGTACCAGCCGTCTCGTCACCAGCCGTCTCGTCACCAGCCGTCTGCGTCACCAGCCGTCTCGTCACAGCCGTCTCGTCACCAGCCGTCTCTCTACCAGCCGTCTCGTCACCAGCCGTCTCGGTGTCACCAAGCCGTCTCGTCCACAGCCGTCTCGTCCCATTTCATCTTGTCCCGTTCCGTCTCGTCCGTTCCATCTCGTCCCGTCCCATTGCCACTAGTCCGGTTCCGTCTCGCGTGCTCCGCCCGCCCCGCTCAGGGCAATGGCCGTCGCCGGCGCGCCGACGCGCCTCGCGGTGTGGGTCAGCGTGGCCTCCGCGCCGCGACCTTCGCTGCTTGACCCAGAAACGCCTCCGTTGGAGCAGCCTACGGCTCTCCAGCGGTCGAGCTATCGATTGCCACGCTCGCGCGAGAACGTCGCTCCCACGGGCTTCCACTCGCACCTACAGGTCAAGGCGCACGGTCGGACGTGCAGGAGGGACAATAATGAAGGAGAATTCGATGTATTTGCAAATAAAAAAGGCCCCCACCAAAGAAAATATTCACTTACAAAATCTGCGTATTTTTAGGTCACCTTAAAAACTGCTTTTCTGCATTTTTCTGTACCATATCGTGTCGCCTTAACGCTAAAATACCGTTTCTTGGACAGCTTTTGTTGAACTTCACTTAACCGTTTTGTAACCGTTATCAAAATGCTGCCTCTTCTCCTCAAAAGCAATTTTCTGTCCGTTTCAATGAAATGACACACAAGAAAGATCAGTGCTTGAAGATGCACGCTACCTTTTCTCGTTGCCCTAACATTAATCAACGTGACATTATTGTTTATGTTGAGACATCCGTTTACCAATCTCAGTTTAATTTGTTTATTCTCTTTTTTTTGGTGATTGCTCGCATGCATGCACGCCCGGAACACATGAAGCCGCGCGTTCAATTCGGCCGAACTTCTCCCAAAGAACCGGACGTGAGGCAGGTTACTCTGCAATTCAAGTCCTCCTTCTGACCTTGTTATTCTTGTCATCTTGGCAAGTTCTCGTGAGATTCGGCACTCGTTGGCAACGCCACAAATGATTGTAATTATCATGAAAACCGCTGCAAAGAGAGAGCAGTTTGTAAGCGAATGAAACTGTAGGCGATGTATTCAGTATGAGGAGGATATACGGGAAAGGCGAAGCACAGGAACGAAATACATTTAACGAGTAGTAAAACCAAAAAGTAGAAAACACCTCACAAGATGAATCAGACAAACCGATGCGATCTTATATTTGAATGCGTACATAAAATCACTCAGCGTTTTGCTTTGAACTTTGGAGAATATATTGTCGGAAGGAAATAGACTACTCTCTTGATGAATTTGAATCATTGATTTAAATAGATAAAAAAGATTGTCATTGAATGTATTTCAAGTTGATAAACGATGAAAATTTGATCATCGGTTTAACACAAACTAAAAAGAGAGATATGCACGTCCTGCAAATAAGAAATTTGTTGGACTCGATTAGTATGTTACGGACGCACATCAAGTTTTTATATCGGTCATATTTAAATTACGATCTCTACTGCAAGTACAGCAAGTTTTAGCAGAGGGTAACGGATGCACATCCCCGAGGACTCCTTTCAGTGGGAAGAAGAAAGGCTGCGAGTTCACCTCGAGCGTCACCGGTTCGCGAGCTGCGCGGCGCGGGCGAGGAAAACGCCGCCTAACGGAGCGGCTTCCCGCGCTCTCGGAAAGAGATCATCCAGGGGCGCGGAGCCAACGACCGCGCCGCCGCCCTTCCGGGAAAGCCTCTGCGGTTTGGTGACGCCGCGCCCTCTCGCCAGAGGTACCTCTCTCTCCCTATCTTTCTCTTTTCTCTATCTCTCTATCCCCCTCTTTATTCTCTCTATCCCCTCTTTATTTCCTCTCTATTCCCCTCTTATCTCTCTATCCCCCTTTATCTCTCTATCCCCCTCTTTATCTCTCTATCCCCCTCTATCTCTCACTAATCTATTTTTATCTTCTAATCTAATCTTCTCAAATAATCTCTTTATCTCTCTCTTTAACTCTCATCTTTCATCAGCCTCTCTATGCCGTCTGTATCTCTACCCTCATTAATTATCTCTATCGTCTCTCTCACATCTCTCTCGTATCATCTCTCTCTATCTACTTCATCTCGTATCCCTCTCTCAATCTCTCTTCTCTCTCTCTATCTCTCTCTCTATCTCTCTCTCTATCTCTCTCTCTATCTCTCTCTATCTCTCTCTCTATCTCTCTCTATCTCTCTCTCTCTTCTCTCTCTCTCTCGTCTATCTCTCTCTCTCATCTCTCTCATCCTCTCTATTCTCTCTCTCTCTTTCTTTCTCTCTCTTTCTCTCTTTCCCTCTCTCCGCAGCCATTCTGACCTGGACATTCTAGGATTCGAGTAGCGACGGTTGCTGCAGTTTCCACACCAGCTAATGATTGATTGATTAGCGATTCCGCGCGCGTCAAGTGCTAAGGTCATTAGTCCCGTGAGAGTAGTGCATGTTTTTGTTCGGGAGGACCACCTCGGGGCACCGCCCCGCTGGTCAAGCTCTAAGCTCCCGACCGGTCTTCAGGCATGCGTGGTAATGTAGTGGATGTAACGTAAGTGTGTGAAATGAAGTGCATGAAATGTGTGTGCAATAAGGGGATAGGATAGGACAGGACAAGGAATTGGAAGGAAAGATTGTTCCACGTCCGTGGCCTGTTTGTTAGAGTACAGATCCGGCATTCACCCGATATGGATTGGAAGAACCATTGGACCTGAGGATGTCTCGTACAAGCAGTGGCATTGTCACTCAGCGTCGCCCCGAGTGTCGGGAAACATCTTTCGTAGGATCTCGAGAACCCGAATTTCAAAGGGGTTGTTGCCAAATAGCAACAGTGCTGTCGCAACCGGTCGAGTTACTGCCATTTTTACATACCGGGAGATGTGACTCAGGGCATCAATTGATGTCACTGCATTGCCTCTGACCGCGAGGACCTGCTTTCGAGTCCCGTCCGTGGCAGGATTTTCGTCACTAGCTTGTCAGCTAGCTTGAATTTAGGTTAGCTTGTCAGCTAACCTAACAAACCGGACACGGACCGCACGCTATCTTTCCTTCTTCACCCATTACTAACACACACTAACATGCACTACACTACCACACATGCCACATTCTGGTCGGAAACTTAGAGCTTGTCCCAGCTGGGGCAGTGCCTAGCTGGTTGCAGATAGCTGGTTGGAGATAGCTGGTTGGGGAGTGCCATGCTAGCCGACGGTAGGTTGGAGCCGGATCACGCCGTCCAGCGGGAGATTACTGCCACCTTCCGGGAAAAGACATACTGTACTCTTATGGGACTAATTACAACGGTTGCCATGCACGGAATCACTAACAATCAATCAATATACGTTCTAATCCAATAAACCCAGATCGCTCTGAGCGTTGGTTTTAAGGGTGGAATCCGTATCACATGACCATTGTGCTAGATTTACACTTATGGGAACTGGCTGTAAATTCCCGTGAACCCAAATGATTTTTTATTGTAGACAAGATAAGACCACAAACGATTTTTACGGTGTTCTCCTGTATCCCCTACATTTTATTACACTACTGATTCATCATTCTTTTCATTATCACAGCAGCTATCCAATTATTAATTCACTATCCAATGTAGACCACTGATACTTTGCTACCAAAGTAATAAATATAGGAATATTTGGAGACACGATACTCGAGATTCAGATATTTTACTACGTAAGCAACGAGGTAAAAATGATAGGACAACAAATCAATTTCTAGAGTTGAGAATGAGTACTTTTCGGCTAACATATTTTGGAATGGGATATTGCGAGTGTAGCAAAATATGATATATTCCAATTCTACTGAACTTTTAGAATACTTGACTCTGAAGCTGGTTACATAAATGAAGTAGGTTGTCGTTGTCTGACCATCACGTTTTAGTCATAAAATTAAACATATTTAAATAAATGCATGACGCCCTGAATGCTTGCTACTACAATCGAGTTTGTCGCTCGAGCTACTTTCAGATAACTAGCCAACGCAATAAACTGAACCATCGTTTTGAGGTTTCATTTATTCTAAAATGGTTTTCGGGTTCATCTCATGTAAAGAACAAGAATTCAAGTCTCTTGTTTGTTCAGGAACAATAATATTATGACTATTATTTCCCTGCCTCTCTATCTTGGAAGTGATATTCCTCTATTTATTCTCTATTCTCTACCGTGATATTTCTCTATTTATCTCTTCTTTAACCTTGTGGCCGGATGAAATATCTGTGTAAATTTAGTAAGCAGAGAGACGATATACACTAGTACATAATTATGCTTGACGCATTTAACATAAAATGTTTAAAAATATCATGTTGCAATTTCCTCTGGAATTTCGTCAATACAGCGTTCATTATTATTGACGTTCATCCATTCACATTCTGCTTCCTCACTTGGGGTGTTGAAATCAATGGATGAGACTTTCAACCTTTCACTCCACGTAGTAAAGGTTTGAAGTTAAGAGACCTGATTTCTATGAATGTAGTATGCATTATACTGCATTATATTCTACGTAGTTGCTATAATGATAATAATAATGTTGATGACTGTCGTTCTATTGATATGACGCCCCTTTCAGTGCTTTGATTACAATTGAATTATTTCGTATCACAGTCGTAAGTTTTTAAGTTTCATTCGGTTAGTAGCACAGCTTGTTGATAATTGTGAATATATTAATCACAAATAAATATTCATTTGAAAATTATAATAAATATATGACTGTTTTTTCTCGAGAGAAAAAATAACAATAAACGACTTTTCATTATTATCAGACAAAAGAAGAAATCTATTGTAAGAAAATAACTGTATTTTAATATCTTTTGAGAGGAAAATTTAACTTATGAAATCTCCTAGACGTAATATATAGTCCCATAAATAATTACGTTAGAAATTCTGAAAAATGGTCACTGCTGTGGACGTGCCTACGACGTTGCATTAGAGACTTCAATGCACGAGTAGACTCGAAGCTCATGCGTAGTATGAATCATTCCCGCATCGTACAAGTAGAAGGACCGACTACTGAATATATTTATATACGAGTTGTCGAATAAAATTCAAAATGTACATTATCTTGAAAATCAAAATAATTAAATCGTTTTTCGAACGCTTAAGACAGGTAATTATTTTACAAATTTTCCTACTAAACACTCTCACCCACGCAATGCCTATAATTTAATTATAATCACTAAATAGACCGGTAAATTTGTTTGTGATCACGTATAGATTTACAAGAAGAAATATTTACTTACAGTTGTAAAAAAATGTACACTTTAAATGAAGATGAAAAGAGAAAGATTAATCATTGAATATATACTGCAATTCACAGCATGTAAAAATGATACAAAAACGTTATTTTGACACACAATATTTATATTTTGTCGAAGAATGAGAATTGTTATAACTAGAAATATAATAATAAATTTGAGGCTTAGTTCTGTCTATTATTAAGATGCAAATGTATGTTCCAAATATTTCCTATCATAATTAGGATTGAAAGGCAAATGTAATATTAGTGACGAGAAAAAACTGCAAAGACTAATGGTGATTCTTCTTCAAATATTGCATTGTACATGATAGCAATAGACTAACTCTGAAATACTGCATTTCGTGATCATAAATAATACTATTAGCAACTTATAATTAGCACAGAAGAGCTAAATCAACGACCTAAAGGTACACTGCAAATGAGATTTTTTGAGCGAGCTCATTTCCTATTCAATAAGGAAAGGACATCGATAACGCTGCGATTGTCGTTGGCCCCATTAGGAGCTTCTCTTCCCTCCACGGCAGTGTGGCGTCGTCCTCCGCCGTCAGCAATGAGGTCGTCGCCGCGATTTTGGCGCACGGAGAATCTCTCTTCAGACTCCTCACTTTGTTGCTATTGTCGTTTTTGTTTCCTTTGTAATCGTCCCGCTCTCCCAGTATGTTTGTTTCCCAGTTTTCTTTAACCTCGTAAATAATGCCTGCGGGGAATTGCGTATGACACTGAAGGCGCAGAAATTGCTTGCGCATGTTTTATAAAAAGAACTTTCTGCTACAAAAGAGCTCGAGAGATTGTCCACATGTAAGTAAAAAACAATTGTTCATTCTCCAAGCCTAGTAGCACGTGTAAGCGGATAATAGTAGGATCGAGATCATTCGCTTTGTTATTCTTCATCTTTTCGCTATTTGGTCCAAAGGACTAATTTTACTTGGCCTCACCGTTTAGAATTTTCCGTATTTTAAACATATCTTCACATGTTCACGATCGTATGTACTCAGAACACTCAATCTTCGTTCCAGTTTCATAAAAGAATTCAACGATATTGTTTTATCCCTCATGTCTACATCCCACCAGTGACAATATTTCCCCACTCTATGTTTCCCAGTATTTCAGAGTTCGACAGCCTATTGCTATCATGCATAATGTAAAAATTTGTTGAAGAATCAGCACTAGACTAGCAGACGACCCTTTAGAAGTCATATCTTGGTATTTTTCGTTTCCACACACTTCGTATTTGACGACCATTAGTTCACCTTCGAAAGTCTCTACGTCCGCTAGCACACTCAGATCACAGGGATACCACGTCACCTCCGCCTCGCCTCCGCCCTCCGCCTCCGCCTCCCCACCATCCCTCCCCAATACCCCTCGCCTCGCCCCCTCGCCCGCGCCTCCGCTCCCGCCTCCGCCTCCGCCCCGCCTCCGCCTCCGCCTCGCCTCCGCCTCCGCCTCCGTCCCCCCGCCACCGCCACCGCCACCGCCACCGCCACCGCCACCGCACCGCCGCCACCGCCGCCACCGCCGCCACCGCCGCCACCGCCGCCACCGCCGCCCCGCCGCCGCCGGCCTTACACCTGCGCGCGCGCCAAGCGATCGGGGCCGTGTCGGACGCGGTGGCGGTGCCCACCGCATGCGAGGCGCGCGAAGCGAGGCGGGGCGGGCGGGCGCGCGCGTGCAGGCGGGCGGCGTGCCGGCACCGCGGCGCGGGCGCACGGAAGGAGGTCGCGGGCGCCTTGCCTTGCCTTCCCCGCTCTACGAGACGACTGTTGAACTCCCAGATGTGGTGGGGGCACGGCGTCGCCCGATAGCGCTCTCGCTCTCTCGAAACAGATTAAGTACAGACGTACATTGAGTCGCTACCAGCCAATTTATAGTGACTGATTATTTTCGTGCCAGCCGCTAAGGCTCATGAGTCCCGGCGGGTAGTGACATGTTTTATCGCGGGACGGTGGCAGTATCCCGTCCCCACCCATGCAACGTGAGATGTGCCCAGTTCTACTCTTCCACTGGCGGGGGATTCCCCGTCCAGATGTTCCCCAGGGAACACCAGCCTCACGCGGAGACGCTCTAAGCTCCTGACGTGTGTATAGCTGTAGTGCAGACGTATGCATGAGGGAGGTAGAGGAGAGAAGATGGACAAAAGATGAAAGAAGATCCGCGCCGGTCCGTAGCCGTTGTCTTAGATTATATCCGGGCATTTCGCTGATGTTTATCAACAAACCTACGAAAACTTTACCCCGGCTTGAGAAGGTAGTGTCAGTGCTAGACATTATTCTCACACAGGGGCTGATTCGTTGCTATACTTCGTCTTATGAAAGGCGCGCAGCGATTCGTGTAAGGTTAGGTATCCGTACTGGTATACCCACGTTGGCGTGGTTCAAACCCGATCGAAGTGCGTGGAGTCCTTCGGAGGAAATAAGTCGCTGTTCCATGGTAGTAGTTTACTTGCATGTAAAAAGATCTCAAGCCTTAAATGGCGCCTCTGAGCTTAAATTCAAAATCGCGTTCTCGTATAAGAAATATCTGAGTTGTTGAACATGCAATTTGCGTGGCCCTGATGGCCCGGTCTCGCCAGTAAATAAGATTCATTCAAATCAATAGCTATTCGTCTACAGCTGTATGTTGAAATCCGCCACTGACCAGACTCCACCATGCGGACATCCCGGTTGCATCTGTAGTATATTGAAGTTTATTCCACAGTGTTTGTCGGTGTTACCACGTCTTAAAAATATAGGATTGGGATCGGACCTCATTTATTATTACCACTAAAGCAGGCGTCTGGGGATATTAGATTCCTAGTAGGTTAATCTGTCTATGGTAGAGTCCGAAATCAGTTTCTTAGTCTTTTATCTTACTAGAATCTTTGCATAAAAAAGTCCGGTCAAAGTTTTAGTAGCTATGATTCATATACATTTCACATATATACTCGTAAGTTACTGAAGGTCTGCGCCACATAAATTAATTATCAGTCGCGAAGGATTCAACTGACCATTCGCTAATCTCGTCGCCTGGGAACAAAGGTTTCTCAGTCGCGAGATATATCTCGCAATTCACTCTCTTGTACACCAAATTACAATAACGTCCCTGTGTCATTAGTTCAATTAAACAGTTGCTGCGTAGAAGTTTTTGCTCTAAGCAGAAAAATTCCCCAGACTACTCATACAATCTGAATGCTCCCAGGGGAATACGTTTCTTCGATCTGATTTCTTCGCTGTTCTATGAATAAAGTCCTTTCTATAGCAGAAATCCGTCCAGACCCCTCATACGATCTGAAATTGCTCCCGAGGGGGTGAATACGTCATGCTTCGATCTGATTTCGTTCCTTCTATAAGTTTCTTTTCTAAGGCAGAAAACTCGCGTCAGACCCTCATACGATCTGAATGGGCCCCCAGGCGTGAATGACGTGTTCTTCGATCTGCATTTCCTTCCTTTCTATGAATAGAAGTTCCTTTCCTATAGCAGAAAATTCCGTAAGACCCCCTCATTACGATCGAAATGGCTCCCGAGGGTGGAATAACGTCGATCTTCATCGATTTCGTAAGTGCTTTTCTAGGCAGAAAACTCCGTCAGAACCCCTCATACGATTCTGAATTGGGCTCCCCAGGTGAATTACGTTTCTCATGCTGATTTCGTTCCTTTCTATGAATAGAAGTTCCTTTCTATATGCCAGAAAAATTCCGTCAGACCCCTCATACGATCGGAAAATGGCTCCCGAGGGTGAATACGTCGATCTTCGATTCGATTTCGTAAGTTCTTTTCTAAGGCCAGAAAACCCGTCAGACCCCTCATACGATCGAATTGGCACTTCCCCAGGGGTGAATACGTTTCTCATCTGATTCGTTGCCTTTCTATGAATAGAAGTTCCTTTCTAAGCAGAAAAAATTCCGTCAAGACCCTCAATACGAGTCGAAATGCTCCGGAGGGGTGAATACGTCGATCTTCGATCTGATTTCGTAAGTTCTTTTTCTAAGCAGAAAACTCGTTCGAACCCTCATACGATCTTGAATTGCTCCCCAGGTGAATACGTTTCTTTGATCTGATTTCGTTCCTTTCTATGAATAGAAGTTCCTTGTCTATAGCAGAAAATTCCGTCAGACCCTCATACCCGATCGGAATAGCTCCCGAGGGGTGAATACGTCGATCTTCGATCTGATTTCGTTTACAGTCGTAGTGTGCTAAGCGATCGTTGATGCGGTCGTTGTTGCAGGTGCACAGTCGTAGTGTGCTAAGCCTTGATGGGTCGTTGTTGCAGGTGCCAGCGCCCGCCGCCATGAGGCTGTGGCTCGTCTTCGAGCTGCTGCTCGTGTTCCTGCTGCTAGCCTTTGCCGCCTCCCGCTCCATAGGTACGCAAACAGCCTCCTCAAATCGCAATTTGCAGTCAAATGTGTAAGAACGGTTATATTTTAAACAGAAGTCGTAGGCTTCCGCGGCCAGACTCATGGGCGTGATCTTGGCTCTCCGGGTGACGCTGGTATGTCATACCAGCCCTGAGGAAGACCACGACAGGATGGTCGAAACGTCGGCAACACAGCCTTCGACGCGGCGTCACCCGGACAGCCAAGATCACGCATATATTTTAAACAGTCAAATATTTAAGAGTAGTTGTTTTTCAAACAGTCATATATTTAAACAGACTAGTATAGAAGAACAGTATGATTGCCACTAATAATACTACTAATTCACCACACACGAATGATGAAAAAAGAAGATACCTGTGTTAAATTATTTACATTTTAATTTTACATTACAACTCAACACATCTTGTTTTTGTTTCGTGCCTAATTCTGGTGAATCTACTAGAATATCGAAAAAATACCGTAATTTTTTAATTTATATTTTAATACTACATAAATAAATTCATTAAATTATTAAGTAAACTTTAAAATATGCGTACAACTATTAAATTTCAGTGAAACCGATGTTCTCTGTTAAATATTAAGAATATTTTCCGGAATTCTATATTTGGGAGCACACGTGACTTTTTATGATCCTTTTCTTTTTATATTCGATGTATTTCTTTTTTTACGATACTCATAATTAATATAAAAATCATGCCGAATTGATGTCCATAAAGACTGCGTTTTTGATTAATTTTGAGTAGGTCCTTCTACTGTAAAAGCTCCGAGGCCCAAAATTCGTTGCCCTACTCATAAAAGTATTGCAGAAAGTTCTGGAGATGAACATTCCAAAAATATTCGTATATTTTCAGACACAGACTATTCTATATTTGTTTCTCTAATCTCCTCTTCTGATAGAATGTCTCTAACGAACTGAATTCTACGTCAATATGGAGATTACCATCTTGTTTTCAGTTACAATTTCTTAAAAATAACTTTTATGGAAACTGACTATTCGCTACATTAGATTGAATTTTTATTTCCAGTAGATACAACGTAAATAAAATATATAAATTGAACCTTTTGATTCATAATTGTATAGTTGATATTATTTGATTGTATATGAAAATAGCGTATTATGAAAGTCGGTTTCTATTCCGAACAGAAAAGTCGGCATGATATGATTTGTATGCACGCATATGATCAAATAAACATACTTTCTCAACACAAAAAGAAAGCTGGAGTTCGTGTTGCTATAACCTACATACGTGACAAGTTATTGAATGGTGTTGGCACCGCACTAAACACTTGTACTTCAGACGTAACTATAAATTAAACGAATTAAAATTCAATGTTAAAGACGCGCCAACTTTGAAGGTTGAACCCTCGCGGGAAGTTCGTCAACAATTGTGGCGCCTAATAAAAACAAAATAATAAAATAAAAAAATTAAAAAAATAAATACCCAACACAAAATATGTTTTATAAATGTTAAACAATTGTGATACTCTTTGAACATTACGGTTGCATAGGTATGTTCCTGCTTAGGTTTCAAGGATGTTAGAAATCCTTTCTTTCAGACTTTTTTTCGGTAACTACGCACTTATATGGCCTTCTGCAGTATATGCATTGCATATTTCTAGGTTTCGTTACGTCTTTGAAACTGGAGTAAAGATGGCGTGATAAACATTGTGCTTAAGCCAGATATTTTCCACAATACTCATTGTTAATTAAAGCCAGTAAATATTGGTACTCATTTGGAAAAATTGCTTAGTGGACCGCCCTGAAGAGGCCATGAGCGGATAAAAACCTCAGCTGTGCTGGGATATGAACGCCGGTTCGTCAGGTTGTGTCCTAACTACTACGCTGTCGCGATCCACCCAGTTACACAAATTTCTGGAATAATGTCACGATTACGAAAGTAACTGCCATTGAACAGTAAATGTATTTTCACTATCGCGAAGATAAAATTTAAAAAAAATAGTGGTTCTACAACAGCACATACTTTGTCACATTATTTCTAAATTAGCAATTTTCGAAAATACGAAGTGTTCAATGAAAATAAGACACGCCCCATTCTTTTAAGCATCCCTTCCTCTATTCTTAAAAGAAAAGGAAGAAACATATTGGAGTGGTCTTTCAGAAAAAAGGTTTAAAATATTTTTAAATTGCTTATATTTTGGGCCAAATAACACGAAAACTACTCATACTTCTAATAATTGAACATGAACTTATTTAAAGACCCGTTTTTAAGAAACAGATGTATTTAAAAAACATCTTTAATATTATAGTTCGCACCCGAAAAATGCACTTTTGTAATTTTAGAAAACATAACATTTGAGCGAAAATGAGACCTGCGCCTTTCTCTTAAGCGTCCTTTGATTGTTTGTTATAAAAATTGGTGCCATTTTTGCGGAAATTTTGAAAACGTTTTTGATGCTTCATATAACTTGCCATTAAAGATCGAAATATCATTTAAAACTACCAAAGTCTCGAGTTCATTCAAATCATTTGAGGAATATTAATTTTGAAGAAAATAGGCTGAATGGTTTAGGCGCTAATGTTGACCACAGTCGGACAGACAATGTCTTTAAGACGTTGGAAACAACATCTTGACGGGAGAGGAGTGCTAGAGGGCGTGGCTGTGTTTGCAGGGCCGGCGCAGCGTCAGGGCCCGCCCAGCCGCTACTGCGCCTGCACCAGCACCATGTGCAACTGCTGCAGGGACTTCTCGCTGCCCGTCGTGCCCATCAAGGGCCCAGGTGAGTGCCCCACCCTTTCAGACCTACAACTCTGCTCTGGACCTCGCCCAAAAATAATAAATATCCATAAGACGTCGTAAAACGTGTTTGTAAGTGCAATAAACAATTATTAATTAAATAATCTACTGTGCCAAAATGTATTTAAATATTTTTTAATATTTGAATTTTAAGTACATTTGAAGGATTTTTTCCAGGGGGAGGACCCCATCACGTTTTGTGTTTGGGGTAGTACCTACATCCGATTGAGCTTTAATTCAAATGTTGGTTTTCATCAGTGGCAATGCAATGCCTAAAATTTGAATGAAATATTAAGAATTTATTTTCTCTACTTAAACCTATAATGATTGAAAATAAATTTAAGTTGAATGTTGACGAGTATTCAACAGATAGTTTTAAAAGTTAAAATATATTAAGAGCAAACAAGACTGAACGCATATCTGCAATGAATCCTCATTATATCTAAGTGTATTTGGCATTCTAGGGTCCATTTAATCCGACCAATGGCGTTCCCAGTGGCGTCGGCCAGTGGCGTTCCCAAGCCTGTGCCCTATTTTTTATCATTATGAACGCCTGGAGGAGAGGGGACGGAGACATACGGAGCACCACGTATTACCATCACCTACCTAAGCTGATCTTGCCTGCCAGATCTGGACTGCGTCACGCAGCTACAGAATCTTGAGATAATTAGTATTCAAAACCTACAGCCCCATTTTTGCCCCGACCGAGAATCGAACTCGTTACCGCCTTACAAAAAGGTTGTTTACTGTCCGTACCACCTGAAGGGTGAATTCCCATTCTAAAAAATGTATGAAGTCCGTCTGGTTTTTGAGAAGTATAAAAACGTGTAGTAATGAATTATGATTCTTAACGTGCTTCGTCCCTGGCCCAATCTTTCCTCCCACGCATTTTTCCCGCTGTGATGTGACGACAGGCCCATGGTTTCTCATGAAGCTGCAATCGTCAAGGCATCGTTCTCTCTGTTCACAGGATGTGCGACTCTGCAATACCTGCAGGGTGATTCGATGTTGGTCACAATGAGTTTCGGTGACCGAGTTTTGCAGAACATTACCATTTCCGGTGAGTAATAAAAATTGTATTTAACTATATTACTCCTTGGAACACTGCTGTAATCATCTCATTGAGAACAAATGGGTACGGCAGATTCACGCGGCCTTGGGGACACCTATCTTGGGAGCTTTAAGATAAGTGTATGTGTTTGCACTGGAGTGGGACACAAAGTCGCTCACTTGCGATCGTTCTAGCCGACGAGATCATCACGCCCGAGAATGCTACTTCCAGTCTTGTCATTATCGAGAACGAACAATACTAACACTAGCCCTGTTATCGGGATGCGCTTTTCGCGTCGACGGACGAAAAGTGAACGATGAATAAGAAATACTGAAGGCATCACTGCATCTGTCGACAACGTTTATTGCTCAAGCGTATATATTAAACATATTAAATGCTTTATTTGTTGCACTTTAAATGGAGGGGTAACTGAACTATTTGTACAGAAAAGAATGAAATGGTTTACAACGGAACCTGAATTAAAAAACAACAACTATCGTGAAAAGCACGTTACAAACCTGAGTATTGTTGTGCACTTGGTACAGTGAGAGCAGGGAAAGTTTCATTTTTTTTAAAATTATGATTTAAATTATTTTTGTGCTCTCCTTTATAAGAACTCACGGTGCTTCTCGTAAGAGAAATTCACAAACTCTCGGTAAACAGCACAGAGCGCTTGCTCCAGCGATTCTGACGTGAAGCGATGGGCAAGAGCGGTACCGACATTTCCGATTCTTGCTAGAACCTCCGTACAAATTTCACTGGGAGATAAGGAGCGCGCTCGCCCTCCGAGATTGCGAAAGCAGGCCGCCGAGAACGATCTGTAATAGAAGCATTTTGTCCGCCACTAGTTTGCACCTTGCAATTGTGGTGTAGTAAGGACAGATAAACCACTGCGAATACCTATTGAAGCTTCATTCGTCATCCCATAATTCTAAACGAAAGATAAGAACCAGTTTTGTACACTTCATTGCTAATATATTTCACTCTTTACGAAATATACAACTGATGAATACAAATAGTTTCTTAATTTCCGTTCATTTCAAGCAGACGAATACTTATTGTTTACCGATACAGAATATTCTTATTATGCTGCTTTGTGTTCGTCATACGATAAATGTCATGAACGAGAGAGGAAGAGAACTACAATGTTAACAATCATTAAAATAATATTATAGTTGTATTGATTCTGTAAGATCGTGATATTACCGGCTATTCCACTCATGAGTTATTAGTTTCATTTCGTCAATAGAATTCTATAATAATATGGTCATAAACTAACCACGGAGCCTACAGAGTCACGTCCATAAAATCACATGTGTTTATATCACAAAACTCTCACGTGTTTACTTTTTGCTATTGCCTTACAGTAGAGAATGAAATGTTTCGGAAAACAACGTTTCATGACAAAAACTGTTGTAATCAATATTTCATCCTAAACAACCGACCAACAACTAATTTTAGCTATTTTTAACATTCTGTTAATACTATTTAATCGATTAATTTATTCGCAAAATAGTCTAACCAAATTCCACTCTTGGTTTGAATCTTAATAGATGTTTCAAAACACTGGTGAAATTACTTAAGAGAAGGGTAGTGTTTCCAAGCAGTGCAGTCGTGCCTTGTGGGTGTTGGTGCTAGCGTTGGGCGCATTGTATGCCTTGTACGATTTGTGCCAGCGCTGGGGGCGTGGCCGTGCCTCGCCAGAGCAGCGCTACAGCGCCGGGGGCGTGGCGTGCATTGCGTTCGCAGGGCGGCGGCCGCAGCCGGTGTGCATGGCGCTGCCGGGCGGCATCTCCAAGTTCTGCGGCCGCGTCTACGGCATCTCGCGCGACGGCGAGCAATTCAAGGCGTGCCTGGGGCTGGAGCTGCGCGCGCTGGACGACGTGGAGGCTGCGCTGCGCGTCTCCTGCTTCCGCTTCGGCCCCCAGGGGCTGAACCTGGAGCCCGCGCCGCCGCTCCCGGCCGGCCCGGCCCCCGGCGCCGCCGCAGACTCCGCCGAGGACGACGACGACGACGACGACTACGACGCCTTCGACGATGACGACGACGACGATGACGATGACGACGATGACGACGACGAGGGCTTCGGCCTCATCGACGACGACGATGACGACGACGACGAGCCCGCGCAAAGCGAGACGACGGACTACACGGGCTTCAGCGTCTTCGGCAACGACATCTTCAGCCTCTTCGCCAGCGACCCAGCGGCGCAGCCAGGTACGCACCAGGCGGCCAGCCACAGGCCACACCCTTTCTTATTTGCTGCACTTCATTTTTCCTCTTTTCTTTTTTTATTTTACAGCATGTTTATGGTTGTTTCAAATGCATAGGCTCTGAAGTGTACATCAGTATTAAAATAATAACTGTGCGCTTTCCATACAAATAACCCAGAATCTATTTCTGTGTACCGACGAGAAACCTGTGTACCG